AGTGATAGCACATTTGTAATTCAATCTAATATACTTTCCTTGAATGATTATATGGCTGCGATCGTAGATCCGGATGTATCTAAATATGCTCAGTATATACACAGCGTTTATTGTTATGCTATTAGGATTAATAGATACAATTGAGTATTTATACCCTTGATCATAAAGTTAGTCACTACTTTCACACTTTGATTTGTATGATTTGGATTATGATTAAATTGACAAAATAAGAAATCATTCCGTGTATATGTGTATTATATATTGTACCCCAATACGTAATTAAATTGTGTATAAATAAGGACACTAGGTTATTTACTGTAATTGATTATTTGATAAACATATTCACATTTAGTTGTGTGATATGTCACAGAGGTAAAGCTAATTCATAACAACTAATTGTCCCATTTATTTGGTTTCTATCTTTTATATGAAACAATGCTATAACATGGGGTGATAAACTTCATTGGCAATAGACGTAGCATATAATTGACCACATGAACAGTCTACTCTGTTCCAGATATGTTTATTCATTTTGTCAGCTTTTAAATCGTTGCATTCCTGGCTAGATGATTCATTTGACGAAATCTTGTTCCCTGTTTTGAATTACCGTCAGATAGTTCCAGAACAATTATAAAATTTTCAGCCCTATGTGTTGCGCATAATTCCGAGATAATTCGAAGTTCATATTCTTGTACGAACACTTATCAAAATTCATTTATACCTAGTACTATTATGAACATATGTATATTAGTTCAAATTATAATAATGAGGCCCTCTATATTCTCGAAACGGTCTTTGTTCTACGACAACCCTAAGGCGGTATGGGAAAACAAAATATTTGTTTAATTGTTCAAAGTTCAAAGTCAATGTCATATGATTATAGACAAGGAAGATAAGAAATTAAATATAAAGAGTAGCCACTTTAAATGACAGAAATTCTTTTAGTTAAATTTGCTCATGATTTGGTCTTTGGTACATAGTGTCAAAATACTCTTAATTATTTACTTTCATGTCATTACTAATCTCACATAAGGTCAAAAGTTGTACAACTTTTAACAGATATGATTATGACATGTTGTATCCAAACATTTCCAAACATTTCCAAACAAATCCAACCAAATCCAAGCTTGGAAATATGACCTTTCCAAATATTGGAATGGTCATATTTCCAATTGGAATGGTGGTATTTCCAAGTTTTGGATTTTTTGGAATGGATGATATTTTGTCCAGTGTTGGTAATGGTGCATGGGGAACATTCTTCGTACTGTGTTTCGGTTAGAAGTTATGTTTCTGCACTTGTATCGTTACTATTGTACGACAGAGACACTCAGGTTATTTCCTCCATGAAAATACCGATCATTAGATGAATATGTACATGCTACAATCACAATAACGGGGAAGCAGTATCATTGTTGGGGCGTGCATTACACGTGCTAAAAATTACAAAGTGTGTGTGGGTGGTAGGGTGGGTGGGTTTTGGGGTAGGGTCATGTTTTCCACGATTCTAACTGACTGACGTGGAATCAAAATGTAATGGGTTATTTCGATAACTGCATAAAAGACTTGCGATCCGGTATTACTTTCTCAAAAATGATTCTCCGTAACCTCGCGTCAGTACTTCAACGTGTGACATTTGAAACACTGTCAACATATCTATAGCGTCAGGAACTCCCATGCACCGGGCAGCCAAAAGGTTACAAGGGCCTCTGGGGTGACCTATCAATAAATTAATTAAACAAATTTCTCAAGAGTGTAAGAGCTGATCACACGAAATAGAAATAGCAGTATATGATTTATTAGCAGGCTATAATTCCTCCAAACGGTCGTTGCTTGGCTTAAACTAAGTCAGCTCGACCGATCGTTCGTTCGTTCGTGTAATTCAGGAAAAAAAGTAAAAGCGCTATCTATAATATACATTTACAGGAACAGAAAGGATTCTTTGAAATACCAGCTGCCATGACTTGTAGAGGCTTATGATAAAGACGAAATCGTTATATTTTCGTTCTCCACACATTACCTGCGGATTAATCTGTCCGCCAATTTTGCTGCCTTACATTCGGTTTACGGACTTTATTACATGATATCCTTTTCCAAAAAATTATCTTTTGATCTTTTAATTAACACCTCTTAGTACAGGCGCCACACCTCTACTGTTTACTGCAGATAGAGTTACTGTGTACACAAACACACATGTACTTGAAAACCCTCACCCTCTCACCCTCTCACCCTCTCTAGCCCCAGCCAACATTCGACGGGCTTCGTCAAGTAGGGATCAAGTCTCCCTGATGCTACAGGGTATGGCACACATTTCCACTTTTTAAGTAATTGTGATAATTTATATTGGACGCCCTGATTGATTTTAAGTCTCAGTCTCCATTTCATGATCTTTGTCGCGTGAATCGTGAACGTACAAACTACGTCCGACCGTTGATTGTTAGTATTGCAAGCTCCTCTCAGCATATCTCTACTGGTACTAACGTCAAGAAAAAGTAGTACGCGTTGCATTCGGAAAGACGATTAACTTCGTTGTGTTAAGGATTGGTTTTTTTCATTTCTGTCTTCATTTGTCAAAGGATAACAGTCACATATTGAATGAAGTCGAGTAGCCAAGCGGAGCAATTTTGTGCTTAACCTGTGAATGTTATCTTCAAACATGAAATATGTTACTCGGCACCATACCCGTGTTTATGGGTTACATCGCTAACAGCACTTCGGGCTTTCCTCCCACAGTATGTTGATCTTGACACTCAGTGGTATAACAGAAATACTTTACAAAGCGGCGTTAAATCCAACTCACTCACTCACTCGTGTCACCATACCAGTAAGGGCTATCACAATGGGAGAGGCAATACCACAACACCACATATAACCCGATATACTGAACCGCAAAAGAAACATCACCATATCAAAAAGATGAAGCTTGGCAAAACTGATCATCAAGGTTGAAATTAAAGTGTCAAATGTTGTTTAAGCGAAACACAACACCAGTCTCTGAGAAAATAGCATCCCAAGTCAGTATCTCGTGTGTCCGCCACGTGCATTGATGACTGCCACGCAACGTCGATACATGGCGGTTGATGAAGGTCATAGGCACTTGAGCCCACACTCCGAGGAACGCCTGACGCAGTTCAGCTGCAGTTGTCGGCCTTGGTCGGACGTCATTCAGCCGTCTTTGAATCTCGTCCCACAGGTGCTCAATGGGATTTAAATCGGGACTGAGGTCAGGCCACTTCATGGCTCTGATGCCATTCTCCTGGATGAAGTCTCTTGTTGCCCTCGCAGTGTGGGCACGGGCGTTATCATGCTGAAACTCGTGGTTGCGGCAACCTGTCAAGTAAGGTATGGCGTGTGGCCTCAAGACTAGGTACCGAGCTGCTCAGACACCATTGCCTCTCCCTGGACCGATGTTCTCGAAGACCACAGGGCCGACCCTCTGTGCAAGACCAATTCCACCCATAACCATGATGCTCGGACCACCCCCATCTCCTGTTGAGATACAGTCATGGCTCTCGTCTGAGAAGAAGATTCTTCTCCACTGCTTGTGGCGCAAATGCTGGTGCTGTGTTGCCCACTGAAGACGGCCCCGGCGATGTCGTGGTGTCAGAATGGGTTCTCGGTGTGGCCTCTGACAGTTGAGGTATCTGCTCGTCAATCGTCCACGCACGGTGTCCTCACTAATGTGTCGCTGGTGTGTCCCCATGGTCTGTCGATCACTTTCCGCAGCAGTAACAAAGCGATCTTGAAGATGCTGTCACACAATCTGGCGATCCTGTACACCTGTAGTGTAGGTTGTCTGGTGTCGTTGCGGGAACCTGTATATGGTCCTTACATGGACCTGAATGGCATTGGCTACTTGCCCGGCGGTTTGTCCAGCTTGCAATCGTCCTAGGGCTTGGTGTCGCTGTTTTGTTGTCAATCTTGGCATGTGGTAACAATTCAATAACGAATGAATGTTATCCGATCTTGGTGGATTTTTATAGAGCAAGAAATGGGAGAACGCATGTGCATTTCAATTCACGTATGTCGGGTTACCATGGCCCTTCCCGTGATGCGTTTAAGCGATCGGTTTTATTGGCATCTGCTTTGTTTTTTATCATCAAATTTCATTTTTCCGGACAAGGTAATGTTATCTTTTAGAAATTTTTGACAAAAATTACCCAAATATCTAAATCACAACTTTTCATGCAATGTTACTTGGGGTTACGTTTCCTTTGCGGTTCAGTATATAATACATTTTGTTATTTTTGGATACAGGCTAACATGAAACAACCTTGCACGCCTTGCATGGTCCATTGACGCATTGCATTCACACGAACAAAGTTTATCAGGACTATATATACATATATAGAGATAATAACAATAACGTGACGAAATACCTAAACGTGACGTGCAGTTTATGTCATGCATAGTAGCATCGTCTAAAACAATTTATTGAAACGAACTTTGATGCAGAATATGTTCCATACAATCAGTAAATGCTCACTGTTGTTAGGGCATCACATTTATAATGATGTGGTCTTTCCTCTCAATCTGATGACATTTGTTTTTGAGTTGGTGTGTCACAAAAGAGGACTGTGTGTTAATGTTTGTTGTGCAGCCGATGTTCACTTTATCTTGTCTCTCAAACTTTACACCCCTGCCAACCCTATGTTGTTATGTATTGACAAGTGAATTTGAATGAATAAAATTTGCAAAGGTTTTCCTCTTATTTGTGTTCATATTCACCTATAAATAGATTCGATGTGTTACCTTTGTGTTATATTCTATGCCTATGTAAATAGACCGTATGCACTTGTCGAAATGAGTGTATAGGGTTTGGTTTGCCGTGTATAAGAAATATGGTGAAATGATAGTAATAATTGTAAAGGTCCCTTCGTTCTATATTGACAATGGAAGCTCCAAATATCGTTTAAAATGAATGTGCGCAGTTCAATTGACGTCAGTTGAAAATCAAACAGCTCCCCTTTCAGCCTTGTCCACAAATCATTTAAGTGTTACAACTTCCTGGTTCACAAACATGGCGGGTGTGAGGTGGCTGATACTTACTGCGGCTGTGTCAGGGTGGTGGATTCAACTCATACTGGGTAGGTTATAGTCACACTACGATATTTGTACTTGTGGGTAATTAACATGACACTAACTTAATCCTAGGAAAATACGTTTATGACAGACATATAAATAACACTGATAGCGATTTGTCTAGTAATGACAGACATGTATAAAAGGTAAGTACAGGTTTGCCTCAGCTGATACATGTACGTATACAAGGTTCACCCGCAGACAAACGTGTCACTAAATTCCCATGCCCAGTGGGACAAGTTATAATGCTCAAATATTTAATACTCACACTACATTTTTCCTCATGGATAATAAACATGACCAAAATTTAATTATCTTTGACAAATATGCACAGTAAGGTTTTACAAACTTGTATGAAAGGCAAGCAGGGTTGGCCTTACTGACACATGTACGTGTATTTCCGGTGGACACCTCGACAAACGTGTCATCACATTGCCATCTAGTGTAAGACGAATTGATGTTTGTATCTACAAATGATGCTACAAAAAGACATATACTTCTTGAAGACTCATTGACCTGCATTTAAACTATTTGACTTTTTTTGGTTAATGGATAAACATTTTGATATCAAATAGTGTGTGTGTGTGTGTCGCCGTGTATAAATAAAGAAGTCAAATTGTTTGGGTAATGTTTGTCAGGTAAAATATTGTCATCAAATCAACTCAACGTGGACAATGAGAGGGACAGACAACCAGAAGAAATAGTTATCGATATCCCCCACCCATATGGACGTAATGGTTGTTTGTAAATTAACTAGGACAGCCTAGTGGTTAAGGTGTTCGCTCGTCACGCCGGAGACCCGGATTCGATTTCCGACATGGGTACAATGTGTGAAGCCCATTTCTGGTATCACCCGCTGTGATATTGCTGGTATATTGATTTATCATATAATGGGTATGTTTCTCGGCAGGATAAAGCCAGCGGATAAAAACGATATCCGTTGGGGTCATAAGGGGATAGAGATGCAAATATCAAAGGTCAAGTACTTTTTGTGTTTAAAAAAAAAAAGGCGTCGCCCTTGTCATTCGGCAATCGAGTCAGAATTAACCATCGGGAATCTGGATAAACTACAGGAATAATTGCTGTCATAAGCAAAAGAACAGTCTGATATACTTAAAATCAGTGTCTAACTGTGACGTCGCTAAGGCATTTTATAAGTTTTGGCAACTTTGGAGATATAAATTTCGAAACAATTTTGCGAGGGTACTAGCCCTAGCCAAGCAGGATCAGTAGCCACATCCATGCTTGTAGACCTCTGCGGCTTGAAACCTTTTCCACAAATTAAAATAGTTGGATTTGGCCGAAATATATTTGAATTGTTACCTTATTTCGTTTTGTTGTTGTGTGTACATCTGATTGCACTTCCAAAGTTTTGACAGGACAGGCCGACTGTCAACAACGTTTGATCGTGGCCATGACGTCTCATAGACTAGGGTCTGAGTAGCTTCCCTTTAACAAAGGCCAGTTACTCTAGTGGACAGACCGAGGCTTGCTAAATACAATCTTTATTCCTGATACAGGATATTTACCATCCCCAAACACACTCGCGTGATAACCTCTATAAAAGCGGCGTAAAACCATACACACTCACTCACTCAGTAGGGTACGTTGTCACACAAGCACCCGAGTCACCAAGTCTGACCACTGGAGTTCCCACAAAATTGTAGGTTGTAAGTTTTGGCGAATACATTATTCTCTGGAAACGAATCCTACACAAAAGTGAACCTATATCCAACTTGTTTCCTTGGAAACTATCTTTTCTTTTTGAAGATAATGGAATGGTTAATACATTGATATAATTGGCTACTATTGCGTTTACTGTTTATATAAATATTTCAAGTTCAGAGATCACTGCCGGTGTTACGGAAGCGTAGTAGGGCCACGGTGTATTTTTTGTCTAAGTATCTCCTACGGGAGGACTTAATACCTCCTATGTAGGACTTAGTATTTCCTACGTAGGACTTACTATCTCCTACATAGGACGTAGGAGATAGTAAGTCCTACGTAGGAGATAGTAATTCTAGGCCATACTGAGTCCTACGTAGGAGATACTAAGTCCTATGTAGGAGATACTAAGTTCTACGTAGAAGATACTAAGTCCTACGTAGGAGATTCTTAGACAAAAAAAATTCACCGTGGCCCCACTACGCTTCCGTAAGATGTCAAATATTCGGATAGAACATACTTTGCTGGTCCCAATCTTAACATTATTTGTTGTAATTGGTTGATTATCTCTGTTACAACAGTGAAATGAGTTTGGCACTATGCTGGATACAGAGCCAGTGATTCTACTGGTACTGGTTTGTCTCTAGAATAAAACCTTTAACTCTGGTCAATTTCTATAAAATGTGCACAAAACACAGCTACAATCTGCACCGTTTGGTCAATGTAGTAGCACAGGGGCGGGGTTGTTCAAAATTAACAAGCATTAACGTCAGTGTTAACTCTCCCTTATATTTAACGAAACGATTATGTTGTTTCTGTAAGCTTGGATATCTTTAGCGGTTGTTTGTATGCCCGTTAAACTTAACATACCTCCCAACCTCTGTTAAATACTTTTTAACACCTTAGTTATATTTTAAACAGACTGTTGGCTGAACACACACTGTGTATGTAACTATAATGCTTCCTGGTTTGTTCTTGTTGCATCGTAAGCTAACATTTTTTGTATTGTTACTTCAAAACGCATATTTGGCTGTCAGAAGCTCAGCTTAAATACAAACGAAAGCTTTTAATGTTGCAAGAAATAGCACGATCGTTACCTTGAAATTTGTAAAAGCCTTTAAGTGTCATAAATTTGCAAGAAGCATATTATTATTTGCGGATAACTATTTTCTTTGAGGGCTGACGTTAACAGTGTTTACTTTCCTTGGATGTTCTTATAAAAATAGAAATTAAATACGAACCTTGTTACAGAGAACTTGGATGTGTCGAATTCCTAGATGTCTCGAACTCATTCGGCACACCTAAGTATCCAAATTAAACCTTAATTCCCCGAATGTCTCGAACCACGGATATTTTTGTCCAGGTCCCCACGAGTTCGACGCAATGAGTTTCGAATATATAATCACAAGTTTTGTATTATCAAGAATTATATAGCGATAGATTGCGAATCTGATTAACTGGGCCAGGATCCGCGTTTGTTGAAAGATTGAGACATAAGAATATCCTGTGCTTCTGAAGGCGTTGTCGTAACAACTAGGCAGTGAAACAGTCGGTCTAGGTTATGACAAAAGGACAGCTTTAAGAATTATGACAGAACGTTACCTTTACTGTTTAAGGAAATGTCATCAGTCGGAGGATATCAAAACGTTCGGATAGAATGTTCTCTTTGTGCCTATCGTTATGTATCGTAGCGAGTCAGATATTCTTTTACAGTTATTCTAATATTTACGTACGACAGGGGTGCATAATGATTGTTTTGGGTTCGCTGATACGCTCATCTTCACACCACCTGATGTCGACGTCATCACTATTTGATAGTGATTCACAAACATATGCCCATGATAAAGTTTGTATTATACAACGGACTCTTCATTTGGCAGATTTTTTTCATGATTATGAAATTGGTGTTTTCGCATTTATTATCATATGCACACTTCAATCTGCCGCGTATCGAAAATAGTGAGTGAGTATGGTTGTACGCCGCAGTTTTCTATATACGAGCAATATTATGGCGGGGAACGCCAGAAAGGGTCTTTACACATTGTACCCATGTGGAGAGTCGAACCGGGGCCTTCGGCGGGATGAGCTAACTCTTTAACCACTTGGCTACCCCACCGCACCTATGGAAAATAGCAGTGATCGGGCATCACTCAGCTCGACTCTAACCAGTGTTTTACTACCGACAAAAACAATAGCTAATTATTCGAACGTAGCTTTCGTTGTGTTGTACATTACTGAGGCGTTGCATCTCAACGCAAGATCTAAACGCAATGAAATTTCACATCACGCATGAACAGCACGTGATGCACGTGCACACAGAAGCCAAAATGTATGTTTGTCAGTAGTGCTCGTATTTAAAAAAGATGTCAGTCATCGAGCTGCTCAACCAAGTATAACTTGCAGGACTGATTTACAGACCAAAATGCCCTGAACATGTAAAACATACAAATACCCGCACGCACGCACGCACGCACGCACGCACGCACACACGCAAGCACATACAGTGAGGTCAACGCGAAGAGGACAACGCGCAATGGTATATCTTTTTTTTAAACTACTTGTTTCCCTAAGACAAAGTGTTTGATTCAAACTTGTCTTAACTTGGTTTACAAGGATAACAACATTATATATATTGAGCATTTTCTCTACTGCAACACCTGATGTTTAACATGAACAATCTATATTCTACCATGACATGGGAGAATGGTTTGAAAGAGGTATCCCTTTTCATATTGAATGGGTGCTGATTACACTGCAAACACGAAAACGTCGGGTTTTTTCCGTATATGGTCATTGGACGGAAAAACGACTAAAGATTCATTAAAATTGATTAATTGGTCAGCGTCTAGAAAGTGTCCAGAAAAGGGTCGAGTTTTTCAAGCGTAAAATTGACGGAAAAACGATGCTTTTTGCTCCGCCTTGTACAACTGTTAACGGCCAATCAGATGGCGCTGGTCCCCCGACGCACGTGATGTCCAAGGCTTCCTTTCGGAAGCTTTAGGTTTCGTATTTCTGGCATGCCTTGCTCTAGTATCTGTCGCGCGCAGTGCAGCGAGATTTGCTGATAAGCTAGTTTTAGGATATGTTACATGTTAATGGAATTCAGACACGCGCCAAGAAGTCAAACCAAACAATGTTACTAAGTTTATTGTGGTAACGGCTATGTACAGTTACCCCTATCGGATAATGGGTTGTGTTTCATTTGGTTATAACAATAACTAATTTTTTAATGTGAAGTTTACAAGATTTACGACTTGGACGCGAGGTCGGTCACATGACGTTCTTCACGTGACTGTATTCTTGAAAAGGCGTAAACACTGACTACTTCCACATTCCTGGG